ATTCTTGATAGAGTCCATCCTGTTTCCTATATTCTGTAAAACTTGTCAGTTATCTTGGGGCCATCCGTAGGAAGCATTAGATATTGTAAAAAGGGCGAGGTAGGCTTATTCAAACTCATGAAAGGCTCGAGAATCATATATATGTATATATGTGTATGTATATGTGTTTTTCTTTTGTGTTAGCCTGACTTTTTAAACTTACCTCATCGATGCCCCTTTTCCTTCTTTTGCAGCTCCTGTTATTTATCAGGCCTGATGTCACAAGTGAATTTCTCCGTTTGGAGATCAATAAAGTCCTGTCTTATATTATGTTATAAAACTATTAAACATACCACTAGGAAGGCTTGTTTTTTTTTTTTGTTTTTTTTTTTTATTGTGCCCCAGTTGGTGTTTACAGGCACTTGTATTTAAATTTTTTCTAATTAAAAGTAATTATTTTGATATTCTCAAACTGTTTTGCTGGCTGCATAATTGGCTCTTTGGTTTCATGTGCTTTGAACTCTTATCAGTTCTAAATTTCCATCTAAACCAGCAGTTTGTGTACAGCTGCTGGTAGAAAACAGTTCCTATGTGTTCATCCCTGCCCATCACATATAATTGGCTCGTTATCTTCTCCTATTCTGCTCTGTGACTCTGCTGCTTTCTGATCTCCTGAGCGTTTTCTGTCTCCCTCTGCAGCCCATTAAGAATGCCCCGGCAGGAAAGAAGTACGTTCGCTGCCCTTGCAACTGTCTCCTCATCTGCAAAGTCACTTCTCAGCGGATTGCCTGTCCCCGACCATATTGGTGAGAAACTCTGCATGTTGGTCTGTGATCGTGCACAGCCCTCCAAAACTACTCTTAACATACTGTCCTGCTTGAAAAAAAAAAAAAAGTATAGCAGAAGAGGCAAGTTGCAGTGGGAACAGCGGCCCTTCAATTAAAGCTGGTCTGCCAACACAGTTAACACACAGAGCCCAGTGAGCCGGATGAAGAAATAACACCCTCATTAGAGTGACTGTCATGGGGTTTTACTTCTTCCTGGCAAGTATTTTGAGAAGTGTGTCTGTGTGGAAAGTTACTGTAGCTCAGTCTGGAAAAGCGGTTTGTTGTTTTGTTTCTCATAGAACCTCCATCTGCTGTCTAATCTTCATTTAGTTCTGTTTGTACACAGGACTCTTTTCAAAGCAATGGGTGTTGGATGAATTCTGTTTGAAAAATGCTTTTTAAGCTTTTGCTAAATTTTGAAGAAAAATTATAGAATAATAAAATCTGCTATCGCTAAGGTGTGGAGGCTGATGTATCACACTGAAGAAATTAGTGCTGCGCCGATGGCATTTTTTGGCCCCGATACCTGGCTTCGCAGGAATGGCCGATACCTAAAACTGATACAAAGTGATTCCAATAGAACTTTTTATTTGCCTACCAGGAATGGGTGACAATAGTTGTATGAACTTTTTGCTCTCACAATGGTATCGGTGACCTATTTGTTGGTAATCGCCGATACCGATACCATCATTTTAGTACTGGATGGGGGCCCCGCCAAATACTGGTATCGGAGCAACACTAGAAGCAATAAAATTCAGGTGGAATTCATGGAGTCTTAATTGTTAACTAATTTGGCAAAAAAAACTGTCCCAGACAAATCAAATTGACTTGCTAATGAACAATTTATTTTACTGGCAGTGGATTTTTATCTTTCATGGAAGGATATATAAAGGGTCAA